TTAACATCTTTATTTTTCAAATCACGAAGTAGAAACTACGAATAGCTGTCTGTTCAATTAATATAAAAAAGAACCGTCAGCTTTGGATCGAATCCAACTCCGAAATGGAATTCTTTATCTATGACAACTACTAATTCATTCAAATGATTATAATCATTCAAAAAGCATTAGTTTATGAAGATTATAAGTAAAAAGTCAAATTAAATATTTCGAAAACAGAACTTGACAGTGATCTACAGTCTTCAACAACCAACATTTTCTTCAATATTAGATAAGGCGAAATCATTTTATATTCACTCGTCTCTGCAAAATATTTATAGTTATAATAGATGGAAATGGTCTCTTTTTATGTAAAAACTTGATATTTCAGAAACAAGTGAGTTCAAAATGAGGGTGCGGGTGTGTCGCATCTTTACTGACACCAACACCCACACCCTCACCTCAGATCTCACCCGACTACAATAATAAATCGTTCTTTTAATCGAGATCAAATGAAAAAACTTTTAGAATTACCAATATGAGATGCACCTTTTCGATTTCGCAATAAATTGCTTTAACAAATAGATGGTGCCGCTATTGATAGGGTATGGGTGTGAGTTTTACATCAATCTATATACATCGATACCGAATCCATACCCACACTGACACCCACCCACATCCCACATCCACACACACACACCTCATCCACATCCAACGCTCACACCCTGACTATATTTTTATTTGATTTTAATGATTTTAAAGGTGTTAATTCATCATCTGATAGGTCACTTATTTGTTATCTTTAGATGTATGCATTAGTTGTTGTAAGGCATTATGTAATTGACGACATACGGATCTAAAGACTGATTCATGAGATTGAGATTCTGTTTCCATAGCATTTAGTTCCATATCTGTTTCAAATTCTAAAAAAATCAAGTACTTTCATTTTATACAAAATTCCCAACCTCGAGAAAGTAATCGTTCTTCAACTGTCGAAAGATTATATGATGATGTATTATTGGAGGGTGTGGGTGTGGATCTTAATGTATGGATCTGACGTTGGATGTCGATGCTAAGTTTTAAAGTGAAGATAACACCCACACATACACTCAGACTCACACACCCACATCCATACATGTCGTTCATAATTAGGTGAATAATTCTCATGAGCCATACGCTCTCGTTCGCAATATCCATATTTTATAACTAAGAATTGTTGACGTCGTGAAGATAAGTCACTGATTCATGAATAACTTCGTGAATGAGTGCTTGAGTAGTGCTAGTCATGAAGTAATATACTTTTCGACGAATTGAATATTTTAGCAGGCTGAGACGTCGAAGAAGTGCACACTGGGAATTGGCCGTTATGGCATCAATCTGAAAACGAGCATGTACATGTATATAAATCTTTCTTCTAGTACTCCTAATTCTATCCACTGTTTCGCAGCAAATTGAAATTTTTTTGACCAGCATATGAAGTCTAAAATGACTATTTTCTTCGTACTTTTCATGACAAACAGCCTTGCATCCGTTTCTATGCTTGATTTGTACATTAAGACCTATTAGTTGAATTGTCCACCAGGTCGAAGTTGTATGCAATTCAACAACGATTGGAAATTTCAGAGCAAGGTTGCGGAGAACCAACCTTTTGAAGTGTCACACTCAACATTTAATGGTGTGTTCACTTACAGTTCAATTAATGCTACGTACTATCATATCAAACTTCATGGAAAATTTCTATCATACGAAAAGTGGGAATGTGACTTGCCAAAAGACCCATTGATTGGCAATCAATACCAAGGCTGTTATAACAAACTCGGTGGCTGTTTCGGCTTTTCTACTTATCTACAAACTGAACGAAAAGGTTGTTCATTTATGCTCAATGACGACTATGCTGGTGCCATCGTTGACTAGTAGGCCCAGAGAAGTGTGAGAATAATCTTGTTTATGTTAATCTGTAAAAAATTTTATTTGAAAAATAAAAATTCAAATTGGCTGATAAAATTGTTGTTGAATCTGAATGTGGAATGCCGGTGAAGTCGAGAATGAAATGGGAATTCATATTTAGATTCACCTTGAGAGTTTGAATGGCGATGATTGTCATGAACAATGTTCTCATGAGGGTGAGGATAACAGAAAATGCTCAATTGATACTTAGCAGTGCTGATGCCAGATGCAAGTATACTTTTCTTCGGCTTATCTATACTTCTTCGATCAGTTTCGTGAATTGATTAGGAAAATATTTGTTCAGCTGAAAATAAATATGGATATTGAAGCTAAAAATCAGGACAATACTGTTGACTAAAAAGATGAAAATATGGGTGGTGATGAGTCCACAGATAGTAATAATCATAGCATTATACATGCAACACCACTGGCAATTGATTATAACAAGAATGATATATGATGGGGAAGTTGAATTTATGTCAAAATCAGATTTCTTAAACTTATCTCTATTTGTAACAAAATAAAATTATACCGCTATATTTTATAGCGGTATAAGCAGTATAAGGACTATATTTTTATGCAGCTATAGCGGTATTAGAGATAATGGAGATACATAAGTTAATGCAACCATGAGGCACTGCCGTCGCTGTGTACACAGAGGTGTGCATGAGTCGTGGCTCTTCGGGGGGCGCTTTGCGTACGCACGTCGCAACACTAATATAAAAGGTCAGTTACGCGAGGAAAAGCACTCATCTCTTCAATGAACATATCTGTCACCTTATATACCTCCATTACCTCTTGAACTTCAATTATGTCCTATACATCCTATAACTCCATTACTTCGTGTACCTCTATACTTCCATCACGAGAAAATGTGAAGAACTGTCGGAAGCACAAATAAAGTATCGTACGAATTGGTACCGCTGTAGCGGTGTTTTGGTAAAAGCTGTGAAAGGGGTAAACGGTTAGGCGGCTTCAGGAATGGAGCGATACAGTGCCAACTACTAGTCACCGAGAAACTCATTTTGTTTGGCACCTTTTTGGAAGGCTGGTTTATGGCCATATGGGCACAGTGGCGTTATTCAGCGACTAAGGGAAATTTGAGTCTCAAAAAGATCGATTTCAATTTCCAGAATGCTGGTTTACTATATACCACACGGGAGGAAGGATTATAGAGTAAGAGTAACACCCAATACCTTCAAAACCAAGCTGCAGCAACTAAGACACTTAAACCCTGCGTCAATACCGTCCATATTCTTGCTCTCCACTCAAATCGAGAGAAGCACCATTGGGCTCCGTTCGCTGCATCAACACCAGCTGCGATGATAATTGTGTGGCGTTTTCTGTGTGTCGTTGTTTCTGTCCTTTCGCACTAGCCACACGTATTGTGATGATGTATACGTGTCATTTTCCGTTTGTCGTTTTTTCGGTGGGTTCCCTGGTAACCTCTACATCGACGGCGAGGGCTGGTAAATAGTTTCGTTTTCGGATCCGTCGTTTATTGATGAAAACTGAATTGGTCACGGAAAAAGTGTTTTTTATATATGATCCGTTAAGCTTCGGACACTATTCAGTTTTGGGAACGTAATATGACTTTAGAAACCTGCTAGGCTCCCGGAATGTCATGTTCAATTCTCAGAAATTCATCTCGTTTTTAGGAAATGATTGATTTCCGTGAAAACTCTCATAACCATCATATTGGTTGAGCGATACATCACCACATCTGAAATATCGTACCTGCATTCGCAACTACACTGGAATTCACTCCCTTATCCGCATACTTTTACCGCCACAGCGTCGTAAGCATATATCCATTGTACCCTATACCGATATAGGTGCGTAAATATATACCTTTTATACCGCTATATTGCTATAAAATATAGCGTATTAATTTTATTTTGTTAAAGAGAGAGATGATTTTCAGGAGTCTGATGTTGTCACAAATTCAAATTCCCTATCATATGAATCAGTTAGAATTTGGCAAATAAACTAAAGAAATGCGAATATTTGAACAATTTCGAAAGCTTTGTTTCCTACTTCTTGTATTTCGAGTACAGCTTCTGATAGCAGAAAAAGCCTGATCATGATTAATATTAACAATTGACAGGAATGAAATTCTTAATAAGGAAAAACTTTGATGTTTGACATTATATTCTAAGAATCGGTGTATTCATATTCAATACTATTTTCCTAGATTTTTTTCACTTGTTAATGTTACATCAGTTGTTTGTTATTTTTATCAAAAATTAAATGAAAATGTCTATCTATTTCAAAGGATACCATAGTAAATTAGATTATTATTGTTATAAATAAATCAACTATCTTAGTTTTGATTAAATTTTCGATAAATAAATAAAAATTCGATCTTGAATAAGAATAGGTTTTTTTTGAATTGAAGCAAATTTAAATTGAATTTAAATTATTTCTCTTCTAGATTAACTTTAGATAAGAAAATTTCAATCTCTATTTTGTACAATAGAAACATTTTCTACTAACTGACAAACAAAAGCATCTGAAAATGAGAAAATCTTCCTGAATAGAGAAAATTTCTGTTCAAATAAATATCAAAAAAGAGAAAATAGATTTACAACATAATTATATCAATGCAGATAAAAATTCATTGAAGAAAAAAAGGAATCGATAAAATTTAATCATCAAATTTAAATTAAAATTCAGTAAGAATTAAGATGAAATATATAGTTTCTAAGAAGAAATTTTAAAAAAAGTCACATAGAAATTAATCTTTTTTCGCTTTTGTTTAGAAAATATAAATTTTTAAAATACAACTTTTTCATGATCTTCATTCAGTACTTGGTCAAAAAATAATCAAGTTTAACATTTACCAAAGGTTTTTATTTAGACTTTTAATTGTTTGAACAAAGTTTATTATCACCAACACGTGCACAGACAACAATGAAAATCATTTTGATCATTACAATTATTTTGATAGGTATATTTGCTTCTGTCATTTTAAGAATCATTTTATTATCGAATTAAAACATTTATTAAAACAAAATAAATAAATTTTCTTTTTTTTCATAGTTAATTCAAATTTTAAGAATTTTTCTTTTATTTTATTTTCTTTTCTTGTTAATTGATTTTAAACCGAAAATTTTTCGTAAGATTAAAAAAGCCCAATAAATATTTAATAATCGTGTTGATATGCATAATAATGCTTGTGTTAAACCAATTATAAAACTTGTTATATCATTAAAATTCCAAGCCATACGAAGAAAATGCGGAATAGCTCGAAATGCATAAAAACATATTATGGATCCATACATAAGACGACTTAGAAAAAAGCAAATAACAAATAATAATGAAAAAAAATGATGTAAACGAGGTCGATGATGATAAATTGTTTTTAAATTTAATGGAATAGTTGATAATTCTTCAGCAAGAAAATAAAAATGACATGGATGACAAACACGATAAAATAATCCTGTTAAAAATGACATTAAAATAACAATATGATGAACTACTGTAGAATTTGTTCGAACTGATTTATCTATTAACATAAGAATTAAATCATATATTAAATAACCCGTTGAATAACAAACACTATATACCATTATTTCATCTCCACTACCATATATTCCACCACCAACTATTCGATTTATTTGTTTTAAATTTATTTCATATTTTATTAAATAATTTAATACACTTATAACACTAATAAATGAATGAATTGTTGATATAATATAACTTTTAATTAATGGTGATAATGATGATGGAAGAATTTTATAAAATATTGTATTTAATATAGTTGAACAAATGATTAATGTTAATATTGGAACATCTGATGAAGGTGTATTACCAATATCTAATCATTTTTAATTTATATTCCTTCTTTTTTTTTTTTTATAAAAATTAATAATAAAACTTACATTCAATACGAATATCATCATTAGACATTTGCTTCTATTTCAAGAAAGAGAAAAAGAAAAAGAAAAAAAAACACAATATGATGCGTGTTTTTAAACACTCAACTTATTAAAGGTAAAAAGCACCTTAGACTTACACACAATGTATCATAGATAATGTTTCTTTTTCTATACTCGTTCACAACTCGCAAAGATAAAGAGAAACACAATTAGTTACATTGCTTTTTTTTTCTTTTGGAATATATATACCTCATTATGGAATATTCTTTTTGTTGCTTTTTTTTTGTATATATGATTGATGAAATTTTTCACTATAAATAATTGATAATGTGTTATGGAGTAGAACAACGCAAAACGTCACGTTCACTTGCCGAAAAAATAAATGTCCTTTTTACCTATGTAAACAAAAAAGCATGTCACTTTTATAAATATGGCGTGTATATCGCACATGTAACATCTTTAATTAATTTTCATGTAAATATTTTTTTTTCCACAATATTATTTTCTTCAACATGAATATTGCTAATCGAATACCGGCATAATGACAAAATTCTATTGAAAATCTAAATCATTTTTCAATTGAATTTTTTTTCTTTCGAATAGAGTTTTAATTAAAGATTTTAACTCAAAAAAATAAAATCAATTATTTATTTATTTGAAAGAAAAATATCGATTTCTGTTAGAAACAAATCAGCTATTGAAGTAATTTAATAAGTGCATCAATGGTTTGTTTTTGAATAGCTATCAAATCTTTTCTTAAGCATTTTAAAATCTATTTAAATAATATTCAACTGTTCAGTTCTGTTGAATTAATTTGATGAATAACCATTGTATCTCAAGCAGTAATATAAATGAATTGAGTATTAGTTTATGAATATGAATAGCTATATGATAACTTAACAGATATTTATTTATTGTTACTAATTTTTTTTGAGCAGGACGTTTTGAGATTGACAGCAAATATTTGTTGATTAAATATCTAATCATAAAAACATATTCAAGATAAATAAATAATTGACAACTATTCAAATAACTATGAAAATATATAGACTAGTAATCAATATGTTTATATAGTATTCAAGATAAAATAATTTCTAAACAAAATATATTCAAACCTCGAAATAAGCTTTATTCTTCTTTGTTATTTTTAAAAGTCTTGTACAGGCAAAAAAAAGCCGTATCACTTTTGAGAATGCTATTTTTTCTAGAAAATCTGAATATAATGAACAATAGAAATTTCTTATGCTCATACTCATAATAAATATGTTCGATAACGTAGAAGTCAGTAGATTTTTTGTAATAAGAAAACAATTGATCAATTGAAACCGACTGATTTATGTGAAACACAAAATAGCCATTTTTGTTCTAAGAATAAAAATATTTACAACAGAGGTTATATTTATTGACGATATATTTATTTTGATAACATGTTTCATAAATAAATATAATTATTTCGTGATAAATATCTATTTCAATCATTTAACATAGAATATTAACACATTCATTTACGAATGCACAAAAAAAAAAACTTTTTAATAAAAGATTTATTTACTTTTTGTTAAATGAAATCTTCTTATATCAATAATCAAGATCTACGTATTTTCTTAATATATTCTTTAATTTTCAGAGATTCGAACTGAACATGTCTAAATATTTAATTCGTTAGAAGACTATATACAAATCAATATCGTTGAGATAAACGTTAAAAAGTTTTTGTATTTATATAAAGAACATGGAACATCTACAGCTTTCAAAAGGAATAACACAATTCTCTTCTATTTATGTGTTTTCACTTTAAGCTCTATTTAAACTAAATTCAACAAATATTTCTTTGCATTTAGTAGAGCTTCAAAAAGTTGATTCTATTAGAATGTTCTGAAATTTTCCTAAGGAAACTTTATTGCATAAAATCACCGTTAAATAAGCGTTTATTTTGTTTCAAATTAACTCTGGACACTGTTTTTGTTTAAAATGACTGTCGTTTCTTTACTTTCCCTTTTATACAATTTTAACTCTCATTGAGAAAATTCTTTAACATAATAATAAGGTTGACCTTATGAAATTCAACAAATTTGAGACAATAATTAGTTTGACATGAAAATAGATGAACAAGGACAACTAGATTTTCTATTTCGCAAGTTGTTAATATTGTATATTCTCAGTATAATCATCGAAACTATATTGTTTAGTTTAATCTAAATAATAGCCATTTGTATATGCTATTGAAAAGAATAAAATGATGAATGTTTTGAAAAAAGAAAGGAGTCTCTCAAAACTATATAATATATTGTGAATATACAAAAGAGAATTTAACAAAGATACTTAGGGTATACCAAAAGTTCTGATCACAGCGTTACTTAACCAT